TATGTTCTATATTTTATTTTAATTTAATTTATTTTTTATTTTCTGCTGATGTTATTATGTTGTTACAGTTTCACACGCAGTATCTTGCTAATAATAAAGTATTTAATTAGTATCCTGTCATATATTATATACATATTTTATTAATCATTTATTACATAAGTAATTATATATGTTTTTTCATAGAGTTCACGTATACTGATTGTTCTTGCGGAAGTACACAGTAACTGGTTTTAGAGGTGAAGACGAATGCAATCCAGGGGGCCAATAGAAAATCAGCGTTAGGTTTCCAACCTGACATCATGCTGAATTGGTTCCTATCTTTTGGCATCACCCTGAGGCACTAGTTTTAAGAATATATATTATGTATAATTTTTTTTCCTAATTTTAACTGGCTGTTTGTTTGTTCATAAATTGTTACTTTTTTTGTTTTGATTTTGTTTCTGTGTTCTGGTGCCTTGTGTGTGTCAAAAATAAATATTTTTTCTTCTTCTTTCTTCTAATATAACTCCAGCATGGCTCTACCACATAATGCTTCTGCTTATTTTATATATTATTCTATAACATTTGGGGGTGGCCACCCCAACCAAGAAATATACGTAAATACCACCCAAGGCGCAAAGCAGTGTTCCAATTTATAGCCCGGATAGGAGATATGACAAAATAAGCCAGAGAGAACACCTGCATCTTGGTCAGAAAGAATAATGCCAGCTTCGCCATCTCCAGATGGTAGTGGACGGCAGGTAGGGTCAAGGGAAGTCCCCTCATGTTGCAGAAATCTATGTATGGATTGGTAGGTGTCTCCTTGGTACTTTTGCTGTTTGCCCTGAGCAGTTTTTGTTTTGAGCGGAATTTCGCCCCATTCCCTCCCCCAAGAATACACAAGGCAGCCTGAGCACCCACACTCAGGAGTGGAGTAGCTAGGTGGTGGATGCTCAGTGAGGGATTTTCCATTACTTGCTGGTACCCTCCTGGGGTAGTCTCTTATTTAATTCCGCTACCATGTTGATGGGGGTTGGGAGGGAATTGGGCCTCCCGTCACCTGCACTCACTAGCCGAAATGAAGAAGCAGTGGTTCTACTTGATGGTGGTATTCTGTGGGATTGTGGTATTTTCATATAAGTATAAGTATTTTGTTTAAAAGCAGGTAAATTTTTAAGCAAAATACTTGTATGAAAAGTAATAAGATGCTAAGCACACAACCTCATTTCAAATACGCAACATTATAGTATGGGGGAAAAAATCGTATCATGTAAGAGAAATACAAAAAAGGAGAACATGTAAAGCTGCTTGAAAAATAGAAAAAGCCATATTGGCAAGGTGTTTAGGACATTGAATTTATTCACATTGTTTATGTATATGAATATACTATCTCTGAAAACTTACCAAGTAGTTTGAAAATTCTCTTCAGCTGATCATCAACATCAGATCCAGGAAATAATGGTCGACCAGAATTTGCCAGCTCTGCAAATATACACCCTGCTGACCACATATCAATACTTGTAGTATAAAGTTTAGCTCCAAATAATACATCTGGTGGTCGATACCACAAGGTAACTACTTCTGCTGAATAACACTTAACAGGAATGCCAAAAGCCCTCGCTAAACCAAAATCAGCCAACTTTAACTCGCCATTTTTGTTGATTAATAAGTTTTGTGGTTTTAAATCGCGATGTAAAACATTATGGCTATGACAAAATGCTAAACCTCTGAGGAGCTGATACATAAATGATTTCACTACATCGAGATCAATTTCGCCGTTGAGGCTATCAAAATATTTCTTAAGATCTTGGTCACAATGTTCAAACACTAACGTCAATTTTTTTTCACTGTGAAGAACATCATAGAGCCGGACAATATTCTTATGTTTTAGCTCTTTGAGGAGACATATCTCACGTAAAGCTGACGATGGTACACCTTCATCATCATCGTCCAATCTTACGCGTTTGAGGGCAACAATTTCATGGGTTTCTTTATTTTTTGCCTTGAATACGGTCCCATATGTACCTTCTCCAATTTTTTCAAGTTTCTCATATTTCTGCATAATTTATTAGAGTATTACACCGGTTTTTTCAGAATATACTGCACCTACCTATACCTACTTACTACATATAACCTGTTTTATATGTAAAAAATAGAGGGTATGTTCCGAAATACAACGCAGTGTACTGTCCAATGCAAATGACGTCATGAATCTACATATTTATTTATCTATGTCATGAATCGACGCTATACTGGTGATTCGTTCCGAAACATTGGACAGTATACACAAACTAATGGGTGCGTTTGGCAGAAAAAAGCGCTAGCAAGCGCTTACAAGCGCTAAAATAGTTTTCGGCCAGGAGACGATTGCTACTTCAGTAGCGCTGACACAATCCGCCATTTTGCTTATTTAATTTGTTCGTTTTGAAGTAGAGTTTATAAGTTGTTTTGTGCAATATTAGTTTTAAGTAATATAATGACATGAATAGACATATACATGTTATTAAAAATTCATGATTTGTAAGTTTTTAATATGAATACTTTACAAACATATATTTAAATTAGGTTAGATTCCCCGGTTAAAACTAACATCGTGTCCTGGAGGAAAATAGCTACTTACGATTTGACAGCGCTTACCGCTTACGAACGCCATTTTGCTTACAAGCGCTTGCTAGCGCTTTTTTCTGCCAAACGCACCCAATAAGAGTACTAACGTAGACAGTATATGACGTCATACTTTTGCGCCATTTGGAAAAGTGTTGGTGATTATTTTGTCATTTTGTGCTCCAAAAATCATTATATCCTCCTAATGGATATACCATCAATTATTCTATAATTTTTTGTATTTGAATAAATAGAAACAAATTCTGGCATGCTTCATTCGGCAAACACACAATTAAAAATTGTTTTATTATGGCCGGATATCCGACACAATATGGCGGCGGCACGCTGGTACAATAAAGTGTCAAATGATACGTCATTTGCATTGGACAGTACACTGCGTTGTATTTCGGAACATATCCAGAGACTAGACTCTCTAGTTTATATACAGTAATCTATGGACTAGACCAAGACTAAACTACATTTTTTTTCCTATATTGACAACTTCACATACAGACACACAGAGTATTCGACTAGTTTCCGTTTCCGTAGAAATGCTTACTTAAACTTTATGATACGAAGTTACATAGGTACTATATTTTCGAATGAATTAACATATAATAGTTTTACAATTGATAATATAATAAATATTAAAATGGATATAGGTAAGTGGTAAAAGTAGGTAGGTACTATAGTTTAATGTGATTATTGGATATGAAGTCTAATAAAGTGTTAGCGTCGCAAAACTAAAATTAGAATTAAATCAATATTTATGTAGAAAGGCTAATCCTTGAACCTTAAGACAGTGTGTGAATGTACAAATGGTAAATGAATGTAGCGATGGATAAAAGAATTTTTATTCAACTTAGTCATGTGTTATGCCCCTATTACACCACCCTGAATCAGGGCTCTAAATGAAGGGTGGGCGTAGTTAGGGACGTCAGTTATTACACTACCCTGATTTTACGCCCTTACTCAGTCATAGGGATGGACAAGTGAAAAAGGTATATATATTTATTGAATCGATATTTTTAAAGTAATTGTAACAAATCATTTACTGTGTTTCGTCCTGCTAACTCTAGTTACATAACTCGAGTTTAGTTCGAGTTGTGTGAATTTGAACTTGAGTTCACTAAAGTCGCAATATTTCCAAGTAAGCACATCTATAGGATGCAACATCGCTCATTAAAAACATCAAAACTTATGTACGATATATCGATTTTTTTCGATGTTTTTTATCATCATTTAAATATATGCATACACACATAAGGAATAAATAATCATTTTGAACAGAAATGAAACAAAGAAGTATAATAATCAAACATTATATTTATGTAATTTTAGGAAATATTACATTATTTATTTTTACACATTTAATTTTATCGAATAATTATCAGAAAACAAGAATTAATTAAATATATTTTTACTTTTATGTATTATTTCATTCGAATAAAATTTTAAAATAACAATTTTAACAACCTGGTTCCTAGTAAGTGGTTTCTCTCTTGGGTGATTGTAGATCCGGTCTCTGAAAATAACCGCTCACGGGATACCGAACTTGCCACGTTAGGCAAATAGATTTTATCTTGGCTATGAAGCCCGCGAAATAACCCTTTCATGATATCCCACATATAATATATAGAATTCGTCTTCTGCTTTAATTTTATTTCTTACGATGTGGTGTGTTAATTTTTTATGGTAGTTCCATATGTTAAATTGAGTATTATCACATTTTCTGAATACGTCTACGTAACTATACCGAAATACAAACAGGTGAATAACCGTTCATCCATAAAACCAATATTACAGAAAAATGATTGTAACGAAATACGAAGTTCCGTAAGCCGATAAAATAATTTCAAGAAAATGGAATTAACAATTGTACTTCTGAAGTTCAAGTATATTTATTTTCGGCTTAAAGACCATTCGCCTGTTTGTTGATTCATAGTTAAAATTTTCAGGATTGAGTTACTTAATACACGTAAACCTTCTAACTTTAAAAATTTAGACGTTATCTAACTTTGACATATTATTTCGTAACCTGACTCCCTTGCCAAATGGGCGGGCGTTCGGGGCATTGCCGAGCAGTTGGTGGAAGATTTTAAAGTGCCTCGCCCAGTTTGGGAAGTATTCTACTATTATGGGTGGGTATTTGGTTTGTGTTGCTGCTGCAGGCTTCTGTGGCCTTGGAGCAGGTGCTGGTGTGGGCAGAGGTGGGGCTGTTCTAGGCACGGCAGCTATCCGTGCATAGCTGTCCGGCGCCGAGGATGGTCCAGGTGTGGGTTCGAATGCCACTTCGTCTTGAATTGGGGCAAGAGTGGCATATGAAGTACTATCCGTCGGTTTTCTTCCTCTGAATCTTACTCCCCGAAGTCCTGCATCTCCATTTGCACGCCCATCGGGGTGGTAGTTGGGGAAGGCTAGTCCGGTGGCGAGTTGTCTCTTGTCACTGGTTGTTTTTGGAGTGGAGTCGGTGTGTTAGTCGTGGTAGTTGCAGAGGCCTTCAGCCTTCTCTCCTCCTGCAATTCTTCGTTGTCTATCTCAGGGGGTGTACGTCTCCGCGAGGCGAGGTTCCGGCGAGGTAGTGGTGCCGGTTCGGCGGAGGGTGGAGGCTCAGCTCCACTAGTGCCGAGCGCGGTGCCTGTGGCCGGTGAGCTCCCTTTTCGCTTTGGGATATGGCTAATTGGCGGCAGTATTCTAGACCTATCTGGAGCGAAGAGGTCACGCTCCATGAGAGGCCTGTCAAGCACACCCGGGTGCCTGTCTGGTGGTTTACGGCGAGTCGGGGGTGGTTCCCCTTTGTCCAACATAATGTGGGTAGTTTTATATCACTCACGATATGAAAACGGGTAGTTATACAAATTTAAAACGGGTAGGTAGGTATAAAATTTTTAAAAGCGGGTAGGAATAAAAACTTTGCCCTTATTAGCTATCACACACCTTACTCCCCTCGGCGCGTGTAACCACACCGGGTGAGACCCGTGGGGGAGGCCCAGCGAGGCGCCCGCGAGCAGGGAGAGGTGTGTGAGGCGCAGATGGATTTGGGCGTTCACTTCACTTTGTTAAAACACTTTTTAAAATAAAAGTTAAAACGAAATGTGAGTAGTTAACACAAAAACAGGGCAATAAGGTAGTCAAATTGCGGGAGCTGCCGAGAGCTTTTTTAAAAACTAATTAAAACTACGTGTTCACAGAGTGAGATGTGAATTTATTCTGACCATTGTCTTTTACAATTCTTAATCCTATGCTTACAGTCTACTTCAATTACTACATACTCAGCGTTTATGTATTTATGCTGATGGACGCTTTATACGTATTACGGGTGGTGCTGGTGTAATCATAACTCCTCCCTCCTCAACTGCAAAATTATCTGCAAGATTTGGATTCCGATGACTTTGCATACAATGTAAGAGCTTAGATTTATTTTTCCAAATTACAATAATAAGGCTAATTAAAACTAATATAACATAGAGTAGTACAGTAGCTTAACTAACACTTTTCTTATTCACTAAGATTTCACTTTCACTTTCCACTATTTCACTTTTCAGTTTGTACGAGAGATATTTTAGTTCATCCAAATTAACGCGATTTAAATTCACTGTTTTCTCCGCATTTATGGGCTGCTCTATCAATTTCGGTAGAGTTAAAATAGGTGTCACCTTATATTGCAGTTGTCCTTAATGGTATCGTTTCCGGTGTAATTTAGTATTGCCTAATTTTATCTCACATTTTTCATCGATTTCCAAGAGGTACATGCCCTTTACAGCATTTCTTTGAGTGACATCGCCACACGTTTTTGTAAGCACTATTTCATTTTGTGTAAATACTGACTGTATCTTAACGCTTTCCAGCTCTACTTTTGATAGTTTACAAATGCTTAGATTTGATGCGAAGTTCATAAGTTGTTCTATGCATGTGTTTTCAGGATACTGCACGATATCATTTTCCTCACACAGGAACTGGTTTGCTGCTATCTCCTAACATGAGCCATTTAAGGGTAAGTACGTGTGATCCTTCACCATAAGGTAAGGATATTTGGGAAAAATAAGAGTTGTTCTATTATAGGTGGGATCAAACATAGGTAAAGCATATATTTTAAAATTAGTGTACGTAATATTATCAGTCAGAGGGATTTCCATAATGAACGCTATTTGGTTTTCTTATACATAGGCCTTAACAGACATAAGATCTTTTTCTAAATTAACTAAATTGTTTTCAGTAATAGGATACAATAAACTATTTGTTTGAGATATAGAATCTAGTATAACTAATAATTCAGTGGAATTAACAATGGCTTGATGTAGAACGTGAAGTTTAGTAAATGCTAATGCCGTTTCTATTTCGCTTAAAATGAAGTATATAGTTTTAAATTATTGACAAACATGTTAAACATACTTAAAACATATGTGGAGTATATGCTGTTATCGTCTTTAGTAATTATATATTTTACAATTCTTTCTATACGTTTCATTCGTTCATTTACAATTTTCATATTTTCCTGTAGAGATCCAGTACTATATATATGAGAGTCAAGCATCTCCGAGATTATTGTTATTTTCTTATTAGTGTACGTTTGCTGGGTCTTTAATTGAGATATGAGATTGTCGTATTTTACTGCATCATTGTGGTCTAAGTTTCCCGTAAGCGCTTTGATAACAGAACCTAATGGATTAATAAGACCGCGCTTGAAACGTATCGAAGGTATGAATTGTTTAAACTTTTCTACAGCTAAGTTACTTAAATAATTTACTTGTGTGTTCATATTTTGGAATTCATTTACGTATGGCTTATGGATGTCTACTAAACTGCTAAATTCTTTATATTTATTGATATTAAAATTTAAATCATCTTTTATGTTACTAAAGTCTAACTGCTTAACTATAACCCACTTATCTACTTCCTTGTATGCTTGTCCTTGCTTTACGGGTAACATGCCTGGATTATGCTCAACCTTTAGAACTTAAAGACCTTGGGTCCAGATCATCAGATTAAGGTTCACGAATATCGCCAACAACCTGCGTAGGGCGTTTCACGTTTTTGAGATGCACTTTAGTTTTTCTTTTCCCTATCGTTACAGGTATTATGTTTCTTTCAATATCACCTTGCACTTTCGTCTTTTGATACCTAGGCTTATCCTTACTTTTCCTTATGTTAATATCTTTAATAAAAACCGTATCACCTTTAAAATCAATTCCAGATTCCCCGCTTTTCTTTTTCCTAACCTTTTCTTTATCTGTATGGACTTTTTCGGAAATATACCTATATAAGTATTTGGTTCGCATCGCGTGGTTTTTAATGAGTTGCTGTGTATATGCCTTTTCAAAATCTACGTCGAATATTTTACCAGAAATCGGTATGACCAAATGCTAGTTCAAAGGGTGTTAATCCTGTCGTTGACTGAATACGTCATGACAGATGCAGCGTCTGTGCATTTATAATCATATTTTGCAAGTCTGTATATTTCAATTATAGTAGAATGAAATCTTTCGATAATGCCTGTCGAATTGGGGTTTTTGGGAGTTGTGATATGAGTTTCTATTTTATACATAGATAGGAGCTGACGCGTAAGTTCGGTATTGAATTCAGTGCCTGGATCAGATGATATTTTCTTAGGAATTCCGTACATAGAAAAATATTTAACTAATGCGCGCGCTACTTCAGCGGTTTGTCGACTTGCAATCTCCAAGGCCTGCCATAATTTGCTAAAAGCATCCACAACGGTTAAATAATACTTCTTCTCAATAGTAAATAAATTTATAAATAGCTCCTGAAAAGGCGCATCCTGAGTTGATGTGAGTTGTAGTACAGGTTTTATTGGTTTCCTATCGTACTTTATTAATCTGCAAGGTTCACAAGCATTTGTAATGGTAGCTACAGTGTCTTGCATGTTTTCCCAATAATAGTTTCTGCGTATTCTTATCATAGTTTCTTTCACAACGCGATGACATGTTTTTCCTTCATGGTGTTTGAGAATGACAGCTTTTTGTTCATTTTCATCCTCCACATATACTACGCGTTGTGTGTTGTGTGTCAAAGAATTGTGCTGCATCCTTTTTAAAGAGTACTATAATAACTTTCGTAAATAATTTCCTATGCTCAGCGTTCTCGAAATAAATAAAGTATCGACTCTTAAATTTTATATATTCCTTTAAAAATTGTTTTATTAATTCTCTGTTTTCTAGTGGGAGAAATACCTCTAGTACTTTTTGTTTTGCTCTAGATAAATTTCTGACTTGTAGTTTATTTTGTAATCAAGAAAATACTAGGATCAGATTTGGTTTGGTATCTATTGCCTCGCTCAAATATGGGATTACTGTTGACTCAGGTTCAATATTTGAGTGTATCGTGTCTGTTCTACTACTGTTAGTTACAAATGGTACAGGGTAATTTTCTTTGAACAATTCTACATGTTCCGTCATACTCGAGTCTGAGTCTGAAATTATCATTGTCTCTGGTTGGGGCTCAGGTCTGTATTTTTCAAGTTCTTTCAGTTGGCGTATTACTTTTTGTATGTCATCGTCATCCACATTAACATCCATTGATGCATCGTATAAAGCATTAAGTTTTATGCGAGATAAGGCATCAGCATTAGTATTTTGTTTGCCGTTTTTATAGATTATTGTAAAATCGTATTCCTGAAGACGCAAACGCAAAAGCAAAGTGTTAGTTTGCTGTTTAGGCTCTTTAAGGGAATAGAGCCAAGCAAGGGGTCTATGGTCTGTATAAATTTGAAATTTCTGTCCGTACAAGTAGGGACTAAAGTGTTTTACAGCCCAAATGATGGCTAAAATTTCCCGCTCTATTGTGCTGTATCGCGATTCGGTGTCACTAAGTGTGCTGCTGGCTAATGCAATAGACTTATCTGACCCTATCGGTCCCTGTGCCAGTACTGCACCAAGAGCTACATTTGAAGCGTCGGTAGGGCGGGGCTGTCTTTAACCCAAATGGCATTCTCAGGAACTCATAGTGTTCATTTTGGGTGCTGAAGGCAGTTTTCTGTCGGTCATCTTCATTAAGTTCAATTTGGTGATAGCCGCTGGCCAGGTAGAGTGTCGAAAAGTGTATGCTCTTACCTAGCTTATCGAAAAGGTCTGCGATATTTGGAAGGGGGTACTTATCATCAACTGTAATTTTATTTAGCCTTCTGTAATCTATGACCATTCTGTATTTAACTTTGCCCGAAGTATCAGCCTTTTTTGTAACAAGATGTACGGGAGAATTCCATGGGGAGAAAGATTCCTGAATTACATTATCTAATAGATGTATATCGACCTGCTTGTTTATCTCTTTTATTTATGCGGGGGCTTGTCTGTAAGGTTTTGTGAATATAGGGTCCTCGTTTTTAGTCCGAATCAAGTGTTTACCCTGATTACTAAAACTCAAAGGTTCACAATAAAATATATCCTTGTATTCCTCACATAGTTTACGAATGCTCTGTCTTTCCTCTTCATATGGTTCAATGTTACGATTGTGTGTATCTATGTATATATTTATTAGTAGATTTGTATTTATGTATATTATGGGAGTTAGTATAGTTTTTTTTAGTATAAATGGTTAGTGGGTGTCGTTATCAATTTGTCTATAAAATACTGTTTAAGCTTATATTTAATATTTTTATAGTAAGTTCATTTTTTATTTCTTTTGGAATTTGGTTCAAAAGAGCGGGAACTTGATATTGTAACCTAAATTTTCCATACATATTTTTATATTTTGGTATAGTCATATATGGATTAAGGGCTTGTCGTGTAAGCTTTGTATAGATACGGCTAATTTTTAATTGTTCCTTGCTATAATTTTCAAACAGTAGTTG